CCCTTTACTTACCACAGTTCATAGGCCCCTGAGTTGTTCCGATGCAACACCAGAACTACATGGTAAGTAGCATCAAAGTGACTTGGATTAAAATAGCCTCCACACACAAAAACAAAACCCCAAACTCCCGCACATAATGTTTTAGGCCTGGATCATTTTAATGATCTGGGTTTCAGGGTGGCTTTGTTCACCTCTGCATCAGTGTAAGAAAGAGGATTTGAAACACTGGCAGGGTTAGGAACAAGCAGCTGAGGGAAGAGAGGTGAAAAGGTGGAAATTCAAGGCAGTTTCACCACTGAAAAGAATACAGGCAAATCACACCTCAGTTTGGGAGGGAGCGATGAAATGGATCTAGAAACCACCTTTTCCATGCCAAGAAAAGCACCAAATATTCTTACGTGGTGGCAACAGTATGCTCCATGGAGGCTGACAGTCTCCAGCACATGCCAGAGATATAAAAGAGAGCATTATGGAGACAAACGTCACTACAGATTGTGATTCAGTTCAACTTTAAGACGCCTAACTTTTGGTGTCCACATGTGCAGTGTCTCAGGTCCCATTATGATCAGTAGAAATCCAGAAGTCAATTCAGTTGCCTCGGCATAGGCGCCTAATGCCATCTGAGGCGCTCTGTCATCTCCAATACACCCACCCAAGACTGGCAGATGTGACAGGGGGGTCTGAGAGACCTGCACCTTTGTGGGATGGCAGCTGGAGGCCAGACAGAACACTCACGGAGTCTAAAATGACACTAAACACCTATATTCAGACAAACAAGCATTATTCGGGTTAAGACTGCCAATGGAGTCTGGAGAATGATTCAGCCCAGCTGACTGGCTCGCTAAACTCCACTGACTTAACTGTATTTCCATTGACTACGGTGGGAGCACAGGCTTCCAGCACACACTTTTAAATATAGGTTTCTTAATTTCGAACTGAATCCCATTTCACCCTGACTTTGATTCAAAGATGAATTTCCTTAATCTTCTCAGACCTAAAACAGGACAAGACTCCTTGTGTCCCTTCAGAAAATGGGAAATACCAGGACCAAATCCTTGTGCCCAGTGATTTATTACAGAATGCCTTCTACCTGAGAATAAGAAAGAGGGAGGAAGACTCAACTATTGCTACTCAGAAGATACTGACTTCAGTATTAACGCTACAGGTACATCTAGATAAACAGAAAGCATAATAGAAAACATTAAGATGAAAAAAGGATACAATGAATGGCAATAACTCTAGTCTATACTGCTTGCTATTAAGCCAAAGCTGTAGGAATTCTAAAATAACTCGCCTAAAAAGATAGTATGATTTCCCAAAGGATAAAATTTCTTCTACCAACATAAGCAATTGATTATAGCTCTTATTTTAGATACAAGTATACATTCCTGTATATCTATCAGTAGAAAATATCTCATGAAACAAGACCTGCGCTACTCTTTTGTTGAGAGCAGGAGTCACGTACAATGATACTTAAGGCAGATTAACTCATGTTATATGAGTTTCAGCTAGTCAAGAAATGGCCATATGACTATATAGTGAGATACACACATTAAGTGATTCACAGCTACTTATCAATACTCACCTGCATTTCATACTTCAGGGTCATGTGGAAGCACCAAGATCCCAATCCCACAGCTGAAAACAAATCAAAACTATGGTTAACATAAAAGTCTACATGTAAAACTTTCAGGTATATCAACTTAAACACATGAACTTTACTGGCAAAAAAAAATTAGAACATCAGCATCCCATTTCAGGGACAAACCCCCAATTTTCCACAGCCTTCTACTTTAGTCACCAGTGAAGTCCTGGAATTTATGTTTTTTGGGGAGTGGGTGTCCTCTT